CAGCCCATCAACAACAACCGAGGCTCCTTGCCAAGCAGCATGTCATAATAGGCTCTCCCACGATTTGTCTCATTCTCACTACATTAATCAACACCCCCTGCACCTACAGGCCTATAAGTCATCATCTCGCAAGGTAGTCTTCCTTCATCTTCAACAATTCCTTTCTGCTCTGTTACGCGGGGCTGTCAGTATCCGCCAGCGTTGCATTTTCTCATCCCCATTCATCGTCGTTCGTCCCAGTCTACAAGGACGTCCCCCCCCCAGTAAACGGCTACTCTTCCCGGCCACACGCAAACTTGCTACGCAGTAGCTCGTCTTCTCTCCTCATCTGCTTCCTCGTCTCCGTCCTCCCCCCTCCTCCACTCCACATCCTTGCTTCTGGATACCTTCCTCGAACGGGACCATCAGTCGGTGTACAACGCATGCAGATCAGGCTCTTTCGTCCAGGGACCGCAGTTAATCCCCTCTCATCTGAACTTTTTGTCGACCACGAGCCCTTGACCGTTGCGACTCTTTCTCAACGGGTAGCAGCCTGTTCTTCCAGGGTACCGTATTATTAGAGTGTTTCAACCACGTCAGGCATAGCACGCGGCTTGGCTCAAGTTCAACACCTGTCTGCTTCACCTCACAACTCATATTAGAAGCCCTCTTCCACTATCCTCTCGACTTGAACAATGACTACTTCTGCCAATTTCAACAGTCCTTCTTCCTCTTCTTCATCGGGCTTCCCAAATCCACTCGATATGGACCCTGCGCAGTTCAAGTTATTGCTCTCACTTCTGCCAAAGGTGCCCCTGATAACACGAGTGGCCCTGCTTCACGTCCTACATCTGTCGAAGCCCGCCAGATACCTCGATTTAAGGAGTGAGCTCATTGTCGCTGTCCTCCGCTCGTATCTCATGGCCAGCAAACCGCGATCCATCACATCATCCCAAAAGCTTGCAAATCGGGATAATGGCGTCAAGGGTAGAATATGGGTTTCAACTTATGCCAGTCCTGCTTCCTCCGAGACGGACGTCCGCGACGCGGTTGTAGGCACGATACAATCGCTCCGAACACCGGGCACGCCAGAAATCAATCTCAGACTGCCAGACCTTGTGCCTGTTGAGGCTGAATGGACCGGCTACCGTGCTGGCGCCACTTCCGAATCGAAACCGCCGGCAATCGGAGAAAAAGAGAAGTTCGATGAACTGATGAGAGAGGTCACAAACCCTCTGACCGTCTTGTATCTTCACGGAGGAGCGTACTATCTTTGCGATCCAGCGACTCATCGACCTGCCACCAAGAAAATAGCCAAGCTGACGGGCGGGCGTCTTTACTCTGTCCGCTACCGGCTGGCTCCGCAGCATCCCTTCCCCGCAGCCCTAATGGATGCTCTTGTCTCTTACTTGACGTTGTTGTATCCTCCACCCGATGCCTATCATGAGGGAGTTGAGCCGAAGCACATCGTCGTAGCCGGTGACAGGTGAGTCGTCATTATGAACCAAATCAAAACATCGGCACTGATAAATTGGCAGCGCAGGGGGTAATTTGAGCTTAGCCTTGCTGCAGCTGCTGCTGGAGTTGCGTAGGCAGAAGCGGAAGATACAATGGCTTGGGGAGGAACGCGAAATACCACTGCCCAGCGGTTTGGCCCTCAACTCGCCATGGATGGATATCACGCAAAGCTCCCCGAGCTGGGAATCCAACTGGGAGTTTGACTACCTGCCAAAGGCCTCCGTATATGCCGAGTACAACCCACCGCCGTGCGAAGCCTGGCCAGCAAAACCCCCACGCGCTAGCATTTATGCCGATGACGATCTCATCGCGCACCCGCTCGTGACTCTCGTCATGAACAAGAGCTGGGCAGGTTCGCCGCCTGTCTTCATTTGCACGGGGTGGGAGCTGTTAGCGGACGAGGACAGGTACATGGCGCGCAAGCTGAGAGAAGACCGCGTGCCCGTGGTATTCGAAGAGTATGAGGGAATGCCACACTGCTTTGCCCTGATCTTGGCCAAGATTCCCAACGCTAAGCGTTGCTTTGAGGGTTGGACTGGTTTCATGAAGACGGTCGCCAGCAATCCGGAGAGCATATCGTCCAAGGCAACCACTGTCAAGGCCAAGTCATTGGAGGAAGTTCCTCGCGAGTTCGTGTCGCTCAGCACGCTGAGTGACGAGGAGATACAAAAGAGAGTCCTTCAAAAGAAAGACGAGAGCTTGAACTCTACACCGGAGGCAGTCCCAAAACTGTAAGCGGCCAAAACCGGGGGCGAGAGCAGCAAGGGATTGGCCCCATGATTTCTGGCTGTTCGACGTAAGGTATCTACCTCACTCATATTATGTAATTATTTACGAAAACATATGTAAAGAAGGTCGGGCAAGCGGATACTGGGCCGCATGAAAAGGGCCGCGCGTCGAAACAGATATGAAGAAATATAGTTGCTTGATTGGAATAACACAGAGGTAGAGGAAATATGTAGATTGCCCTGCTGCGTTCATACAAATTCCCCGATATGCAGGGGCATAGCGACCACTGTGCTTCGGGGCGCTTTGACTTAACCGGGCTCTCTTCCGGGCTAACAAGCTACGAATGCCTACCTTACTATGCGGTACGTTGGCTACCTAGGTAGGTAGGTATCTTAAACATATGGATCTCACTATTGTGTTACTTCGCAAGGTATCCGTACTTCACCCTCTATAAGGTAGCCCTGGAGGTGCATTGGTGTACCGACATACCCCTGTCAGAACCTTGATTTTACCTCAGGTTCCCTACCTACCGGGCTCACCTACTCCAACGTGGCACTGCGCGGGCATTTGGGGTAAAAAAAAAAATCTCACCCTGTAGTCCTACGGAAATCGCGACCTCACCTGCCGATTGCCGACTATCGACCATGGAGCGCCACAAGAAGACTGTCTCCAAAATTGCTGCTGCAGTGCGGTCGTTCTTCGACCGGAAGGAGCCCTACCGCATCTTCCACGGCTCGACCAACAGCACCCGTCCCTTCCGCCGAGATCGCTTCGTTGATATCAGCGCCCTCGGCAATGTTCTCGAGGTCAACAAAGCCGCGCGCACCGCCCTGGTCGAGCCCAATGTCCCCATGGACCGCCTTGTTGAGAGCACCCTTCGTCACGGCCTGATCCCCCCCGTCGTTATGGAGTTTCCCGGCATCACGGCCGGAGGAGGCTATGCCGGTACCGCAGGCGAGAGCTCGAGCTTCAAGCATGGCTTCTTCGATGATACCATCAATGAGGTCGAGCTTGTACTGGCAAACGGCGAGGTCGTCCGCGCCAGCCGACATGAGAGATCCGACCTCTTCCGGGGCGCCGCTGGCGCCGTCGGCACTCTAGGTGTCACCACCATGATTGAGCTTCAACTGATCGAGGCCAAGAAGTACGTGAAGACGACGTACCACCGCACTCACAGCGTCGCCGAGGCTGTCGAGACGGTTCAGGCCGAGACGATGAACCCGGAAAACGACTACGTTGATGGCATCCTTTTCTCCAAGGACCACGGCGTCATCATCACCGGCAAGCTGACGGACGATATTCCCGCTGACAGCAAGCCTCAGACTTTCAGCGGCGCCTGGGATCCCTGGTTCTATCTTCACGTCAAAGACCGAACCATTGGCGCCTCTTCCGGTGCCATCGAAGGCACTGCCCCTGTCGTCGATTTCGTCCCCTTGGCCGAATATCTATTCCGCTATGACCGAGCTGGCTTCTGGGTCGGCGCTGCTGCCTTTGATTACTTCAAGTACGTGCCGTTCACGCGCTTCACCCGTTGGTTTCTCGACGACTTTCTTCACACGCGTATGCTCTATCGTGCGCTGCACGGGAGTGGCGAGTCGGCACGCTTCGTCGTTCAGGACCTCGCTCTTCCCTACAAAAACGCCGAGCGCTTCGTGGACTACACTGCCGAAAACTTCAACATCTGGCCGCTGTGGCTTTGCCCCTTGAAGCAGACGGCACCGCCAACCTTTCACCCGCACACGGGCGAGATTGAGACCCGACCGGCAGCCGGTAGCAGCTCGAGCAGTGTCACTACCGCGCCCAAACCGATGCTCAACATCGGTCTATGGGGCTGGGGCCCTGCGAACCCTGACGAGTTCGTGGCTAAGAACCGCGCGCTCGAGCATAAGCTGCGCGAGCTCGGCGGGATGAAGTGGCTATACGCGCACACATACTACACCGAGGACGAATTCTGGCAGGCCTATGATCGTGAGTGGTATGACGAACTTCGTGTTAAGTATGGCGCTACGACCCTACCAACGGTCTACAACAAGGTCAAGGTTGATGTCGATGCCCGGAAAGAGGAGCTTAAGAACTGGCGCCAAGTTGTAAAGTCGAAGCCGCCCATCGGCGGCCTTTATGGTATCTGGAAAGCTATCCAGAGTAAGGATTACCACCTGCATCGCCACGCAGAGTGGAAGTACAGGCGTGAGCAGTAGGCAAGTTCAACCGGGCGAACTTGGCATTGGAGTACATCATGTTTGGAAACGAACGACTGAGCATACGAACAATTGAATGAGATTGTGCTCTTTGTGACATGTACCGATGTGGTGGTGGCATCTCTGGCGGCTTTGCCGCTAGATGAAAACATCAAAAGTGGACAGACAAGAAGAAGCATTGTAGGCGCATGGGACGTGGTAATACAGGCGCGAATTCATGGTTGCAAGATTTTCAGGCTGTTACTCTGGAGGACTTCATTAACATAAAAAGCCGTTTCAATTCATTCATATCTCTCTTTTGCCCTGGCCTCATCATTCCGATGCTCGAATAACCCCATCTGGCCCGGTATATACAATCACTATTACGAGAGACATCCTCGCGACATGATCCCCGTATCTAGGTTCACATCCATCGCGACCCGTAGCGCCTCTGCTCCTCCTCTCAGATTAACTACCTCATGCTGGCTTATGCTTTTTGCAGCAGTGATGTCGCAAGATCTATGCATCCGCCTCTATCCGTGCGCAAGTCCAAGATCGAAAAAGAAAATGTGCATCTGTTCGCAATTGCGATACAGCTTATGCTTTGACGCTGTAGGATCGCTTGAACATCTCGTCAATGTGCTCGAGGTAGTAGGTACCGGGGGCGATGGTGGAAGCATCACCTTTGGGTGCGTAGCCCTTCTGGAGGTGAGCCTGTTTGCGAAGGTCGCACATCTAGTTCATATGTTAGCTGCTCATCCAATTTCGTACCCTGGAGAGGTATCGTATCTTACAGAATCGTAGGTCTCAGGAGCCACCTTGCGGCGGGCCTCCAGTCTTGCGGGGATATCAAGGACCTTGGCGAGAGGAGTCACATCTCCATTAATGCGGAAAGACAAGAAGGAGGCAGCGAGGCCGGAGCCGTAGCTAAAGACACCGATGCGCTTTCCGCTGAGGGTGGCGGCATCAACATGAGACAGCAAGCTAGCGACACCGCCCCAGACGCTGCCGCAGTACATGTTGCCGCAGAGGGTGGCGACCTGGATGCTGGGGTTCACTCTCTCCTGGAACTTCTTCTTGGTGAGCGCCATGAAAGTCTTCTCAACGACCTTGTCTGTCAGAGACTTCTCGTAGTCCATATCACGCAACTCGGGAGCGACCTCAGCGAAGACGGAGCTGTCGGCATCGGCAAGGTAGTCGTGGTATAGCAGACGAGCGTACGACTTTTGAACCAGCTTGCAAGTGGGGGCGTGGAAAGCAAGGTAATCGAATCGGTCCAGGCCCGCCTTGGGGGCAGCGTCGCCGTTGGACAGCTTGGCCTCGCGCTTGTTGTACTCGCGGTAGGCAGCGTCCAGGGCCTTGGTATAGCAGTTGACCGAGTAGTGGCCGTCGACGTAAGGGTACTCGCTGGTCAGGTCGGGCTTGTAGAAGTCGTAGGCGTGCTGCATGTAGGTGCCGCGCAGGCCAGGCTCCAAAACCACGGGGGCGTTAGGACCGACGAGCATGGCAACGGCACCAGCACCGCCCGTAGGGCGGGCATTTCCCTTAGCGTAAAGGGCGATGTCACCGGCGACAACGATAGCATCGCGACCGTCCCAGGCAGATGACTCGATCCAATTGACAGTGTTGAAAAAAGCGTTCGTTCCTCCGTAGCAGGCGTTCACGGTGTCAACACCTTCAATGTTGGTGTTGTCGCCAAAGAGCTGCATGAGCACGGTCTTGACCGACTTGGACTTGTCCAGAATGGTCTCAGTTCCGACCTCGAGGCGACCGATGGAGTTGGGGTCGACATTGTACTTCTTCAGGAGGTTGGAGGTGACGGTCAGAGCGAAAGAGTAGATATCTGCAAGATGGGAGAGTTAAAACCGAACTTGTGTGAAAACAGGACTATGATAGTTCGGCGTACCCTCACGGTCGTCGCAGAAAGCCATCTTGGTCTGGCCAAGGCCGATAGTGTACTTGCCGGCGCTGACGCCATCGAAAGTCTCAAGCTCAGATTGCTCGACATACTGGTTGTTAAGGGCAGAGTATTAGCGAGCGATTGCTCCTTGAGGCGGAAAATCACACAAAAGGGCTTCGAGGGTAGCGACGCAGGCGAGCAAGGAGAGGGGTAATCAGGGTGGGATGCGATTTCGGCGGGGTAGAGACTGGTTTTTTTTTTTTCGGGGTGACTGAGAGCTTTCTGTGTCTAGCAACTTACCTGGCTAGGGAAGTAGATCTCAATGGCCTTGATGCCAATGTTCTGAGGGCGGGAAGCCATTTTGGAAGCGATTCAATTACGCTGAAGAACGGAGAGAGGAGAAAGATTGCGGAGGATTGGAATGGTCTGTCAGGTTGTAGAGTTAGCCAGGAGCTCTCTCTGTTTTTGAACTCGACGGGCTTTCACCGCCGTTTCAACAAAACGGCAGAGCAGTCGCAGAGGTGCCCAACATGCAGAAAGAGAGAGCCAGGGTTCAGCACTCCAGCAACATGTGGTTGCTGGGGTGGTCGAGGTTGAGAGAGGGGGAGGGGCAGCGAGACCCAACACACCTATTGGTAGGGAAGGCGGGTTTGTTTGCTTGGGCGGATGAATTGCGCAAACTTTGGAGGGGGATGCGGAGAAGGAGGATGAAGAGGGTAGAGAGGAGGAGTAGCAGGTGGCAGTCGGAGAGTACAAGTAGGATTTTTTTCGGGGGGAAGAGAAGGAAAAAGGTGTGCCTAGAGACGAGACGAGACGGAGAGAAGTGTCGAGACCGAGACGAGGGGCGTTTACGGATATGATTTTTTTTTTTTTTTTAATTTTCCACAGCTCTGCAGATGATAGGAGACTAACAGCGGGAGGCAAAGGCAGAGAGGGGAGTGTTTTAATATTAATCCCCACTGACGTAGCAACAGACCACGGCGGTGCAATGGGCGTCGAGTAAGGTATCCATCCATCAATGGATAGCACTACACTTGGATGGGACAGGACAGGACAGGATGGGACGGGACCGGACGGGACCGGACAGGACAGGACAGGATAGGACAGGATAGGACAGGATAGGACACCCAGGATGGGGATGGGATGGGATGGGATGGAATGGATTGGGACGGGACGGGGACGGGGACGGGGCATTAAAGAACGACAAGGTACATAGACAGCTACGCAGTCGAGGCAGAGCAGAGCGGGAGGGGTAAAGCTTGAGGAAGACTTGCTCAATGCAGAGGCAGATGCAGGTTCCGATGCCTGGCCTGATGAAGGAAGGAGGAAAGCAAGAACAAAATTAAAAATTAAAAACGAAAAACGAAAATCAGGGGACCAACAGCACCACCAGTGACGGGTGTGCATGTGTAACGGACGAGGTGAGGAGGAGGGGAGTGTGCGCGGATGATGGAGGCAAACTATACCTACCAGACCAATTCTAACCAGTCCAGTAATAAAGCCATCCCCTATCAGTCTCAAAGGCGCGAAAGCTAGCGTCCAGCGACGGACCGCTTCAATAATGGCGTGACCTTCCCCCTCTGTTGTATCCAAGAGAAGCTCTACGAAGGCGCAACTTGAGCTACAGCTAGCCTTCCATGTCCTCCAGGTCTTGTCCGTCCGGAGCCGGCATTCGTATTGTAAGGTACGGAGCCTTCTCATGTCTGTTGGGCAGCGGACACAGGACGCCTGTTACGCTACGGTTCGAATCATGCGAGGTTTTTCTACCCTTCTCTTTCTCTGCGTCAGAAGTAATCCCTCGGCCTTGACCTCGACCTCGACCTCTACCTCGCTCGTTCTTGGTCCGATACTGGCACCTGCTTGCCAAGTTATCTTCCGTCATGCCGCCGCAACATGGCGGGACATGGCTGCCAGAGCTGAGGGCGGGTTCGCAGAATACGCAGTACAAGTAAAAATAAAGACGACGTGCTGTGTCCTCCCTCAACTGGCCGGTGCATCGGACCCGGAGGATCACAGGCCCCCCTCCCTGCTCGGCTGGTTACCCTTGCCTTTGTGACCAATCTGGCGGTGGTCTGTCATGCCAACACTGCATCCATCATGACAGATACAGAGCATTCCTTGCCAACTGTCATCGTGTCTTGCCCTGCAACCCTTGCCCAGGGCAGACCCGAAGGTAGGGTAACGATGAAGTTAGGTGTTGCATAGGTAGGTAAGGTAGGAGATACTAGGTAGGTGGTGGTGAGGTTGAGCTGCTGCGGGCCGTAAGTTCAGGCAGGGTGCGGGTGCGCTGCGGGTGCGGCAGCGGTAGCGGTAGGTGCAGAGAACTTTCTACGACGGAGAGAGGTGTTTCTTGTTGAAAAAGTACAAGTGGTTGGAAGCAATGTGTGTTTGTGTCTGTTTGCTTTGTGTGTGCCGCAATACGCACCTGCACCTGTATCTGTACACGTCTTTTGTTGGTGGGTGGAGGGGTGGGCAAGATGGACGGGAAATCCACGTCCCCTCCCTTCTTCACCACCAAGTTTGAGCCCTCAAAATACATAAGGCGCTCAACGTTGAATACCCTGCCACCCTGCTCCGCCTGCCCGCCTCGAGACTTGATGAGGGGACCTACTGCGTATGTAAAGATGTGAAAGTCACAGGTATCGGAACACCCCCAGCGGGGTCGTTTCGGGAACAATGAGTGGGACCTGCGAGAAGTGAACACTGAAGTACACTACCTTACCTACCTTAGGTACCTTATCAATCAGTAACCCACCTGAGTGGGCGGGTTAGATCATGCCCGGGTACACTAACACTGCCTACCTAAGGGACTTTACCTTAGGTAGGTAGGTATAGGTAGGCATACTACCTAGGTAGTCACTGAAGATGCGATGCGATGCGATGCCCACGCTCTTCTTCAAGCTCAAACAGACAGGATTTTGCGCCCCTCCCATCCGGCTCGTCGGTCCCGGCTGCGGTCTTGGGTACCCGTACGTACGTGACACATCTGCAGTTCTTCAACGAGTTTGTTTGCTTCTGTCTCTTTGATTACCTGGGATCGCAATTTGGCCTGCGCGAAAACGGGTAAGCGGATAAGGACATGGCGGCTGACCTTGGAAGCGAACGGTACTCACGCATGCACCGGACTCGCCAAGGACGTCCAAAGGTACTTGATAACGTAGCAGGGCCTGTACATTGTGGGCGATGCTCATCCATGTTCCGGGTTGCGAACTTGAGGCTCCACTGGACAAGCCGTTCTCGCATCTTTTCCCCTCCCTCCCTCCTTCTTCTTCATCTCGGACGCCGGCGCCAGTGTGAAAAGAACAGAAAAAGACAAGGGGGGAAAAGACCGCACGAAACCCACACCAAGGCCGTAGCCCGCGGCTCGCATGGCTTGGCAGCTCCGAGTCTCTGTTTCGCTCGGGGCGTGGCGGCTTCGGCCTCGAACTCGAACGAGACTGAACAGCTTTCACAGTCAATCTAGGCACTCATCCACAAACATATGCGGGACTCTTATTATGCGCCTTGACTGTGGCTGAGTCTTTCGCCTTGCCGAAACTACAAACCTTGCGCAGCTGACAACCTCAACTGCATCTTGCCTCGCCTTGGCTACCTTAGGTCATCGTCGTTGTCGTCGTCGGGCAACGACATGTCACCAAGGTGCTTCTGCTTCGGGGACTGTACGTAACAGAGTCGCCATTACTCCTTCTTAGCCACCGCGCCACCCTTGTCCCCCACCTCTTCTGAATGCATCACCTCGACTTGAGCAAGTCGTCCTATTCACTACCACATCTGTTTCGATATCGAAGCCGCATCGGCCCTCCGAGAGGCGTGGGCTCTCCGCCTCCTCCTTAACCTCTTCTAATATCTGAGTCCTCCTCCGTCACAGTGGCCGACATTGATGCTCCGAGTCACCCACCCTGGAAAGCTCCCCCCGTCTCGATGCATACTTGGGTATATTCCCTCAACGTCTACACCACATTGCTTGAGGTATTTTTTTTTTAATTTTTTTTTGGCTCGCCCTTGACTAAGAAGTCGCCTTTGGGTCTGCATTTGCCGTCACTCTTTGGCCAGGCTTTTCACCCGCGTGTCTTGCTCGAAATCCGAGCTTCTTCGACCGAGTGTAACCAGACTCAAAATCCAGCAAAATTTTTCTCCTTGGCTTGTCGTCTCCGTCATCGCCATACCCGCACGTCTCCGCGCTCGCATCGGCCCTCTGGCCCTGGCACATGGTTCAAAACCCCTCCTTTACGAACACAGGTTCCGGCTTCTCCCTTTCAGAGAGCATGAAAAACATGCCCTTCACCCCACGCTCACTGCCGTCTCAGCACAGGCAAAATATCGTCTAAAATCGGAACCGCCCTTCAAGTCCCCTAGGTCGCAACTCGGATTCAGCTGCGCCTGCCCCCCCACCCCCGACCTTCTTTTTCTCCTTTATTGTGCCCTTTCCGTCAATCGGACTTGCCTCGGGTGCCTTGATTGGCCCTTCTCCGCAAAGACTGCGAAATCGAGGTTGTTCGTGGATATTCCGTTTCCTGAGGCACTATGCAGACTGCCGTCATGGTCAAGCTAGTAGGCTATTCGTCTTCCATATGCACTGGCTCACACATCTGAATGAGACACCCATCGTAGGGATTTCTTCCGGTTGGTCTATGTGAGCCGATTTTCTAACCCCCCGAGAAAGAATTACAGCAGCCAAGTTAGTCCGATCACTGGACTAAGTTGACGAACCCAACCCAGCCCAGCGTCATCGTTCACTATGCCTGGCTTTTTTGGCCGGCCACAAGAACAACGTTGCGATAGACGCATTGTTATGGACATCATCGAACTCGAAAAGTTGGGTTTGATAGAAGGTGTCCTAGTGCGGTTTTCCGCAAAGCAGCTGTTCGAGATGCGCATTTACAAAGACGAGCGCAGTGACATGGATACGTAGTCATCTGTCGGAATTCCCCATTTACAAGTGAACCGTCCCAAACGCCGGTCAATGCACTCTCGTGTATCGGAATAAGCTCGTTCAAGTGCCAGCAATGTAACTCAAATCTCCACTGGGGTACCGTAGCCCGAGTCTCTTTTTCGGGTGGTCTCGTCACCTCCACCCTCGGTTTTCGCTCCATCAGTCAACGGGCTCGGCGGTTCTGTCACCTGTTCTTCCGCCTCGGCCGCCCCCTTCGCCGCTGCCGTCTCCGCAACCTCGGTAGTAGCATCCACATCGGAGCCGGAACCGGACTCCGAATCGCTTGAGGAGTCGGGGAAATTTTCCTTGTTTGGCTTGCTCCTCATCTTTTTCTTCTCAACGTTGCGTTTCTCCTTGCTCTCCTGCTTCCTACGCACCTTGTCAGCTTCCCTCTCCTCCGCCGACTCTTCCGACTTTTCCCCCTCATCCTCTCTCTTCTTCTTCTCCTCTTCCTCCTTCTTCTCAGCTTCGGCCTGCCGCTTCTCCTCAGCGGCTTTTAATTCCTTCTCCTTCTTCTCCTTGCGCGTCTCCACAACCCATTCTGCAGCGCCTGCAACCGCGTTCTCGGCACTACGCTTGTGCTTCATTAGGAACCCCTGAATCTCAGCTGGACTAAACTCGTGGGCAGGGATCTTTGTTGCGAAATCCCTCGATAGTTTGTCGACCTTGAACTTGATCTCAGCTGTACGCATGGCCTGTTGCTCGGCCAAAGCCTTCTCGTCTTCGGAGTCTTTGAGGCTCTGCATCTGCTGGGCGGCTTCGTTCTCGTCACCTTCGAGGGGAGCAAAGATGGCTCTGAATATGGACCCGATGATCTCCTCGTCGGCAAGTGTGAACCTTACCACAAGATCCACGCGACCAGGTCGAATGAGAGCCTTGTCGAGCTTCTCCACGTGATTTGTCGTCATGATCAGTACACGGCCCTCTTGACTTGCCACGCCATCCAATATGTTTAGCAAACCAGAGAGTGACAGCCTGCTCGAATTCGTTGTCGTTGTGGCGTTGCCCGGGGTGGTCTGTCCAGGTACCATGTCGCTAGACCCCTCCTTGGCATCGGAGTTTTCAGCCGTCGAGTCCTCCCTCGTGTGGGTAAGACCAGCAGTGTCAATGTCCTCGAGAAGAACTACACATCGGCGTGGCAACTCTGCAAAGAGTGTGGCAAGATTTTCCTCGTTGGCAGAGATGGAGTTCAGACTGACTATATAGATTCTCATCTTGAAGAATCCCGCCAGAGCAAGCGACAAAGACGACTTGCCGGTTCCAGGGGGGCCGGTCAATAGGTAACCGCGCCGCCAAGGGATTCCACGGTTCGAATACCACTTCCGGGTTGCGGGTGAGAGGTAATCGGCGACATCTTCCACGAGCTCTTGCTTCGTCTTTTCATTGAGAATAACAGTGGAAAAGGGTCGAGATGTGCGCGCCATGCACCGCTGCCATGAGGGCTCCGTCGTGCCGGCACGTGTACTACCGCGGTAGATCATTGTTTTTTGAGAATCCTTCTTGAGGTACTCGGTTCGAGCCTCCTGGAGCAACTCCTTGAGAATCCAGGGGTTACGGCCAAAGCAGGAAACACTGATTTCTTCGCGCTCGCTCACGACCAGGTAAGAGGCTTGTTGCTGGTTCTGGCTACGCTTGAAGAGTAGCAGGTGACCGCGGTACCAAAAGGTATGGCTACCAAAGCTGGGTGTGTAAGCCAGGGGCTTCTTCTTCGGGCCCGGCTCGCTTGACGCTTCCCCAGAATCGTTGTCCTCCTCGTCATCATCATCCCAGCGCCAAAGGAACCAGGACCGCGAGTTCAGGTTTGTGTTGACGACGAACCGCCGAGAGTTCTTGGCAAAGCGTTGGGCAGCGACCCAAGACATGAGAATGTTCTATCCGAGTTCAGCTTTCTTGGTCATGAAGTATGTCACCCATCACGACCGAATCTTTGACCCATACTTACGTAGATTTCATCGTCGGTGCGGACCTCGACTGTGGACATGAGATAGGTATCAATCTTCTCCCAAAGGTAATCGCTGAAGTAGCGCCATGCGAATGTTGCTCCACCGCAGAGGATAACCAGGGGTATGTAGACGTTGAGATCGATGCCTAGATACTTTTGGAAGGCGGTCGAGAAGACGCTGAACCCGGGGAAAAAGAAGTCCAGCAGTGCCATTTGAGGGGGCGCCTGAGCCGCGATGGACTCGGATGTATTCAAGGGGTCCGCGCAGGAGGCGGGTTGCGGGAAAGTTTCCATGATGTCTATGGGGTTTGAGGAATTGTTTTTGAGGGCCGGCTCTTGGAAATGAATGATTGTGGTGCTTCGAACGGCTTGTGTGTTTGGAGGCCAGTTAAGAGTTGTAAGTGATGTGGGACGGAGGGAGGGTTTGGAGAGAAAAGGGTGGGTGACACAGAGTGAAGAGACCCGTGAATATGGTCAGGCTGCCTTGAGGTATATATCTCGCAGAGAAGGCAGCCATCCCGCCTTACATTCTGTATTCGTGACCGGAACCAGCCAGTCATGAAGAGACATCTCCATGAAGGCGAGCATTTGCCTCTGTGGTTCCTACGGGCCAATCACATTGCCTAGACGATGAGGCCGCCAGGCACGATCCATCCACTTGAGTCACTCCGGAAGGGCTAGGGGCGGTGGGCCGCAGCGAGAGGACGCAACAGACATCTTTTGAAGATATTCTGTGAGGGCAAGAAGAAGCTAAGCAGCCGCAGCGAGCTGGCCGGTGCCTTCGCCAGGTTATGCTTCACAACTGCGTGTCCGAAGAGACTAGCTATCCGCAGGTGGAACAAATGGACCATGTTTGGATTAGTCGAAGGAGTAAGAAGAGGAGCTGCACCTTGTCTGACTGCAAGACCCAGGAAAGTATGAAAAGGATGACTGCATATCATCATGTGGGATGAATGGCATCTGACGTATCGGCAAAAGAATACTCGCGAAACCAACGAATGAGAAGACCCGACACCCGGTAAAGCCATTAGAGGCTGAGTCCTTTTGTGGTTCCTGATTCCTTCCTAACTACTCTATCAGAGGCTGAGTCCATTCAAGTCCAAGGTCATACTCTCCACTCTGGGGTTGACGGTGCGATGGTTGCCTGGAGATGGTGCGCCAGATGGAGCGCCCAAGTTGTGGCTGAGGACTCTGCGCTTAGCCACGCCATGCGCCAACGTTCTGTGCAGCGGGCTCTCCGAATGACGCATATCCACCTGTTCTTCCATTGGCTCGAGCTGTGTCCTACGACGTTAATGTACGGCCACTTCACGCGGCACCAGGCTTGGATGCAATGGTCTCAAGCAGCAATCCATCATCATATTAGCAACTATACGAACACATTCTTCGCTCACAGACTATCATAATCTCGTTACTGCAATTACATATTGTAAGTTGTTTGGCCGTACCCGACCTCTCCTTGAAGGTTCTGTTCTTCCCTCCTGTGTTCTGGGTACGTGAAGGGGGGTCAAAGTTATAGGTGTATCTCTCTTCGTACGCCGAGACCCAACAATCCGTCAAAAGAGCAGACCGCCTGAAACGCAACTAGCCATTTTTCACTCATTCGAAGCAAAGTTTCGAAATGTTGCAATCTGGAACATTTCAATCACCAAGGCGTGTATTTGTGAGCGCCGCCGCCGCCGCCGCCGCCGCCGCCGTTCAGAACGATGAAGGGAGCTTCGCCACCTGGGGCTGGCGGGTGTGCGGACGCTGGCGGGAAAGGAGGGTGAGGATGTGAGTGGAATTGCGGTTCTGTGCCATAATCTTCGTAACCGCTCTCAACATCGTCGTCGTCGTCGTCGTCTTCGTAGCCATGGTAGTCGTGAAATGTGTGCTGAGGCGGCATGAAGGGTGGAGGCGGCGGCCCCGGTGGATGTGGGTGTTGCGGGAAGAGAGGTGGCGGGTGCATGGCGGGAGACGGTCCGAAGCGAGGCGGGGCTCTGGACCGGTGCTCCCTCCGAAGACGGCCAGACGAGCGACTACTTGTCCTGGACGCTATTTCGGAAATGCTGTCGTCGAATCTTGGGGTGACCCACGCGTAATGGGTGTAAGAGCAATCGCTGTAGACTGAAGCATCGTCCTGGTACAAGCCCCAAGTCTCGTCAATCTCGTGGACCTTGGTTCTTCGCAACGATAGAGGCTTCCCGAGCGGAGCGCCGGTGGTCCATTTCATGAAGGATACGGCCCAGTGATCACTCTTAATGTTGGAGTGGGAGACCTGGGAAGATCTCGACTTTTTGGAACTCCCCGAGCGCAAGGATGAGGCCGAGGATGATCTCGAGGATGGCCGAGAGCTTCCCGACGAGCTCGAAGCCGATGAGTGGGGCATGGCTGCCTGCACAGGATATGCCGAGCTTTGGGAATCTTCGTCCCAGCACCAACTTTTACTTTTGGGGGCAAGACCAAGAGCAAGAGAAGGAGCAGAGTCACACGTAGAAGCGAGAGCGGGAACGGGAGCGGGAGCGGGAGCAAGAGCAGCAGAGAGAAACCTCTGCAAGAGAGGGATGGGACGAAGGTGCGCCGGCAGGTAGTGACGCGAGAAGACAAGGCACCGGAGGCACCGTATGGGCAAAACCCTTACTAAGACGGGCTGAGTTTGCTGAACACCGAGCAAGAGACGAAGCAAGCAACAAGCAGCGGAACCCCGGGAAGAGCCCTCTCAAATACTCGTTGCATTCTTACTGCAGATAGAGGGGACGAGCGTGGCCGTGAGCAAATCCACTGCTGGTCGATGCTGCTCGCCTCATCTTGGTGCATGGCTCCGACGGGGGCAACGGCCCACATGTGTTGAAGTGCGTGATGCAAGTGCAAAAGCAAGGGGACTCGAGGTAATTTGTGCCTCGTCATATCACGGCGACGAGAGATGTATTCGAGATCGAACCAGTGATATACCCAAGACTCGAGGGACTACGCTGCTGTGTGTGTCCCATGCGGGGTACAACACCCTCCCGTGAAAAGGCAGCCATTTCGCCCTACTTCCACGGCAGCCCTGCACATGTTTGACCAGTAAAGCTGTTTCGACAGAAGCTTTTGAGACAACTTAAAGTGCACACGAGTTACCTACCATGTGGAATGGCAGAATATCTGGGCAACACCGATCAAGATCTCATGAAGCGGCTACCCACGCCCAAGTCGCACGAGTGTTGACCCCTAGTTAGTTGTCCAAGTATGAGGCTGAAGGCATCGCACACACACACACACACACACACACACACACACACACACATATATATATACATATTAGAGGGGCCAGGACAAGATGACATTACACCCACTGCCATTGTGCTGCTTTGTACGCCCTCGGAAAATCAGGGGAAACGGACATAAGGTAGTATACAATGCGTATCGAAGGTATATGGGCAGCGGAATCGCAGCCTGCGGCTGTTGCGACCTTCCAGCCTCCAATCTCCAGACTCAACTACCGGTAGACTACAGAGCAGAGCATTCGGAGTGAACATGAGGCTGCGAGCGCATGAGCGGTAGCCGGCAAAAACCATTCGTCACTGGCGTTCGGTGAGCCAGACGCGATGCATCTAGACGTGCAGCTGTAGGTTGGCCGAAAAGGGGGGATCACTAGACGAAAACAGGGCTGCGCCAGCGTCGACGGCAGCCAGTCGCAGCACACATCCTGCCTGCGAAAGTGCACCTAGACAGCTGCGTACGAGCTCCGACAGCCATACGAAAAAGACCATAAGCAACATGCGCTGACGAGCCTTGGTTCGGACTTCCGCCCCAGCAAAGCCACCGCAAGTTTACCGATGTTGGCTTCCGGGCGAATGAGACCACGGCGATGTTGGTCTCCGAGGTGCCATGGTCAGATTTGAGCAAAACAGCACCAGGTCATTCACCTGTCTGAACCGCCTGCTTGCTAGCAGGCGGATGCAAGCAAGACGTGAGACGGGGTAACACGAACGTTTGGCATCGCGCATTCAGTTAGATGGGTGATGAATGGGGAGGCTTGAGACGAATTAAAGCATGAGATGCGCTACACCGTGCCTGAAGGTGAAGAGTTAGAAGTGAAATAGATGTACTATTACATGGTAGTGCTGCTGGCGACGGTAACGGGGCACACCTGTGATGAGATGGGATTCTTGCCGCGAGAGGTGTCTGTGTGTTTACTGAATCTCAACAGTACACGCATAGCATTTGCATGCAGGCAGACACTTTGTTAGTACAACGACGGCTAAGTATGGGATACCCAATGATGTTCGGTGGATCCCACCGACTGGAGTACATAGTAGGTACGGATACACTGGAGTCCAACTCGTTCGAGGACCCGACTGGTTGAATCCTGCTTGCTGGTAACTAAGCAGACCTTATGTACATGGCGATGCGATTTGAGAAGCAGGGTTCATTTCCTAGCGAGCCAGTGAGGGACAGTAACCTTAAAGTAGCCCAGGTACGTGACGGCGGATCTTTTATCGCGGGCATTGTCGGGTGTTAGCAACCGGGCTGCCTCAGGTTGAGTCGCCGTTCGGCGGATCTGCTTCCACTTTCTCAAGCGGACTGCAGTGAGCAGTCCCGGTCCACGTCCCGTCACCACCTGTTTTTCTGGACCATCTGCACTCACGTGCTGTGACCGGGTACAGTGCACCGCATCTGTCTCCGGGCCCCACCAGCTTCTGAGTTTCGGTCCATCTCTTGGAGAGTCGTAGGATTTGCCTGAGATGCGGTCTTGGCCGACTGCGCAGTGAGCAGCGCGCAGGGGCCTACCTGGGCTCTGTCACAGTGCTCGTGCCGAAGGAAGCGACACTATGCCAGTACGGGCACTAGCGCCATGGTCTGCCCCAGCACCCAAAACCGAGATCTGCGGTCGTCCCTGCTCCCATTCGCGTTATTGCTTGGACATTATCGTCTTTTGGCCAGACACACAACACACGCAGCACTTGAAGCAGCCCACACTGCTTGCCAAACGTCTGAAACCTTCCGTTGTGACAGCGTCATTCCGAGCAAGTCTTCTTCATCCCTCCCTGCAGCCCTCTCTCCTCCACCGATTCGGGTGTCATGAGCTACCTCGGAGCCTTCCTTTGTCAGCACTGGTCGGGCTGTGGCTGTTTCTCAGCGGAACGAAACAAGAGTCGCCCAAGATCGGAGATTAATAGGCTCAGCAATCATAGCATGTCTTGTGTGTGTAGATCGACTCACGCCGACACGGGGATCTCCCGTCTAATTTATGCTCTTCTAGATGTCACAACATGTTGATCTGGATTCATCTGGATGGTGTACTTGACTTGGGCGACCATTCGTAGAGAAAAGGCACCTTGTACGGCATCCACGCGGGCAACCAGCTAGCTCTATGAACTACAGATACCGTCACTATCTAAGGTAGTGTGAGGTACAGATAAGCAGAACAAGAAAAAAGAGAGAGTTCGTACCTTCTTGTTTCTCGCCCGTCCTCTCCGTCCAAATGGGCCCACTTATTTTAGCGTTTGTGGACCCCAGACGCCAATGCTGCACTGTTGCCGGCGCCTGCACTTCCAGGGAGCATCGGCGGGGCTTTCTGGCTCCCGCTGCATCGTCTTCTGTAGCGCGTTCCGTAGGCAAGCTGTCGTTATTTTGAGATTCTTTGTCTTGATGAACATCACTTCACCGACGAGGCACGGGCATCGCCTTCCAGGATCAGCCAGTCTGCCGCTGTTCTTGGTCTTCTATTGGTCTTGGTCTTGCACCCGACGCGAGCCAGGGAAACATTGACTACCTGCCTTCTGGACGCAGTAGGTACCGAGTGTTCTATTCATACCTACCTACCTAGCTGGGGACAGGTATCGCTCGGCAATAGGTACTTGCTTCGCCCGCTGCTGACGGCGCATCGCTCGTGTATCTTTTCCCCGTTCTCTCCGGGTGGCTAGACTTCTTTCTACTCAGGCTTCCTAGTCATCCCCCAGTCCTCGGCCTCGTCCAGGGCTCCTTGCACAAATGCACCCAGAGACGGCACGGCTCCACTTCTTCCCAAGTGCATCCATCCATGGATCACCCCCCTTCCCTTCCCTCACGCAGCGCGCTCCTTGGTTCTCTCGCCGTCTCTCTCACACCCCTGGTCGTTTCTAGCAGAAAAGTCTCCAGCGGACTCGCTCCTTGTCGCTGTTCTTACTTCTGAATACGGCCCCTGGATATCCTGCCTCCGCCGCCCGGTACACAGAAAAAAAGGGCCCCTCCCCTGAGCCCACCAATCATGCGCCTGGACGCTTCGTGTCGGACCCCAAACCCAAACTGTTCCTGAATCGTCCAACCTTGTCTAGTAGTGCCCTCCCGCACCCGGACTTCCTCCCTCTCTCTCTCTCCCTCCCATCGCCCTGTCCTTTGTCTTCGCCTCTCTCTCCGACTGTGTCCTGTCCTGTCCTGCGCTACTGCCCGGTCTGTCTGACTATCCTTCCTTCCTCCTCCCAAGACCATACTACTCTCCTTCTCGTACTGCACATCCACCAACGACCTTTTTCTTCAATCTAAGTCGCCCACACCCCGACGCTTCAATCCTCGAATTGTCCACCTCTTCTCAGCGACGACTGGTTCGGAGCGGTATTATCGAGGAATCACGGGTTGAGGTTGGGTTTGGACTTGGGCCTCTGGGGTCAGCGGCCGACGCCCATGTTGTGAAATTGGTGCTACCACGTCTTAACCGCCGCAGCTCGTCGTCGATTTGAATCCTGACCATCGCACAACATCACAATGGATCCTTTTCATGACAAAGCGGGCAACGAGAGGAGGGCTTCCCTGAGGATGTCGGCGAGGCAATCAACCACCGTCGACGGCGACGAAGATGAATACGACCTGGCTGCCGCCATGGGCTTATCTGACGGTTTTCGCCCAGCCGATCTTTCTGCGTCCCATCCACCCATTCCCTCGATCACAAACCCTTCGACTGGCTCGGCGGTTGTGTCACGAGACTCTGCCGCTACCCATCGAGCCCTACCTTCTGCCCGACCCTCGAGTATCGCGAAACCTCCACGCTCTCACGACCCCCTCGCCCTTCGTCATGATGGTTCCACCGGCCAAATGAACGGCACCGCACTTTCACGCGTATCCAGCGCTTCCACCGATTCGCCCATAATGCGCTCCGAGAGTCCCTACGACGGCCCCTCTGGCCCCTCGCACCCGTATCAGATGTACCCCCAGCGAACAAACAGTGTGGCGACGTCATCCACCGCCCGTATGTCAGAACGGTCGTACGCTGGCCCCCGTGGCCCGACCCATCCGTACACTCTCTACACACAGAACACGGTGCCGGTGGATTCCGGTGAAGGTGACAATATTCCCGTGGGGTTCGGACGCTCTGATAACTATCAGCGACGTATGGGACCCGAAGGGGAGGAAATTGCCGACTTGATCGGTCCCTTGGGGCATACCGAAGAGCTCCCTCCATACACCAGGTATCCAGAGCAGGCATACGCGAGAAAACAGCCCGGCGATCTGCCCCAGGCTCAATCGCAACATCATCAGCAGCACCAAGATCAACCTCACCAGCAGCTCTCGCCACAACCATCGGGCCAGCAACCACAACCGCAACCGCAACCACAATCACAACCACAAAACACGGTAACGGTCATGGCTGCCACTGTCCCCCCTGCAGTGATTCCCGGCGCTGGTGGTCTCGGACTCGCAACAAGAAACCCCGAGTTTGAGTCTCGTGAAGACCTTCGTTTGCCGTCGCGCATGTCATCTAGGACTTTGACTTCAGACACTGCAAGCCAACACGAAATCAATACTGCTGCAGAGGCTTACGCCGAGAAGGCCACCGATCACAAGTGGCAGAAGAGGGCCAAGAAAAGAATGTTTGGCGTCATCCCGTACTGGGCGATCTGCTTGTTGGCAGTTGGGTTGGTGCTGATGTAAGTGGGATTCGACCTTCATGTGAACCTATCGACTAACTTTGTTTCGCAGGGGCATTATTCTAGGTGCAGTCATTGGCACTTTCTTTGCCAAACACAAGAAACCGCCAGGCCGTCATCAAGATGACGAGCCCGTCCCCCTCGTCATCCCAACCGCCACGGTTGACATAAAACCATTGGCAACTCTTCCACCTGACCTGCCTTCAATGGAGATCGGTACATTTGGCCTGCCCCCGTTGATCGCTAGTCAGGCACCGAGCACATGCTTCAACGATACGACACAATCGCAGGCCTGGACCTGTAACATCCCTTTCACTAGTTACGTCATGGGCGTTTCTCGAATTGCCAACGAACTACCCATATCTGATTACACCTTAAAACTTACTACGTTCAATGACAGCGACCACACCGACGAAAAACTCAATATGTTCGCTTGGGGCACTCAACCGCCTCTCATTATCGACCCGCTGAAGATGCGGCTGGTCAACGACACTTCTGAACCTGGTAGGGGTGCCGCCTGGTTTGCTCAAATGACATACAATAAAACCGTCGTCGTACCTGAGGACAGATTTCCCGGGGTCAGCACAGCTAGGCCAAGTGCGAAAAGGCGGTGGAATGGCCCTCCTCCTGGGTCCGGAGACTTTAGCAGGAAGGGTGTTAGGGGAGCACAGGCCGGTGATCGACCCTGGATCTGCACTTGGCCTGGTACTCTCCTCGAAGTTTTCGTCTATCCATCACAAAATAACAGCTATCAACGGAAGCCAACGTCGACGACAAAGCCCTTAGCAGCTGCCACAATTCCACCCAGCTCAACACCTTTCTTGGTGCGCCACGGATTGGCGACGAGCACCTTCTCCACCGCGGTTCCTACCGACAAGCCACGACGAGCTCCGCCTCCGCCATACCCGCAGGTCATCAAGTTCGAAGAGCGTCGCGTGTCCCTCGACGAGACCAAGAATGCCTTTTGCCGACAGGTTGAGGTTTGTGACGACGGAGAGAACACGGTTCCCGTTTTGAACGAAGAAGGCCAGCCCGTAGAGGTGATGATCATGGAGAACAGGCAGACAGTCGCTATCGCCGATTCGAAACGTTGGATCCACGAAGACAGCCTTTTGATATCACGGGATCGGCCGACGAGGACAAGCCAGCTGAGTGATTGCGGCTGCATTTGGTGGTTCACATAACACCCAGCGTCTGTCACGATGTGCCATGACAAAACATTATTGCACGGCTTAATGTACTACACCATCTTTTATTGGCCCATAGGCCTTGTTGTTAAATTTGCGTTTTTTAAGGCGTTTGATATCTACCTGGACGAGCATCGTGGGCTTCGTTCATCCGGCGCAGTAGGCTGGCGATTGTGTATATATATGTGTGTATTTGGCGGAATACTTAGGAATGGGCCCGCAAGGCCCCAACAGCCCTTCCGAGGCAAAAGAAGATATCGGAGCAAATTTTCAGTCTCAGGCTGGCTTAGCACTGTTGAAAGACTTGATGCCGCAGGTTTGGTTTGCCTTGCACGGTCAACCATATTGTTAGTACTAGTTGAAATTATTTATGAAAAGAATACAGACGCTGGGCAAATGAGATTTCCGTCATTTGGCAATTTAAACATGCAAATCCTCCTGAGCAGCCCACCTGAGCACGCTTCTACACTATATAATCTACTAGCCTTTGAGATCGGTTGCTAAATCGTCCAGGAAGCTATCAGCGAGTTTCTGGGCTCTCCTCGCCTCGACGTCTTTACGCCGTTGCTCTATTTCCTTCCGTCTTGCCTCCTTTTTCTCCTCACGATCTTTCCTCGCTGTCTCTGTCCTCTGTCGCTCTGCTTCAAGACTCTCAAATTCCTTAGACCTCGTCTCCTCATCCTTGCTGAACTTGTAGAACCCCGTACCCTTGGTTCGGATTTCGCTATCGGCATCGTAGTGCCTCAAGTCGGGGGGTGTGGCGCTCCTGTCACGTTTGCGTGCCAACTCCTCCATCTTCTCGGGGTCTTCCGGGTTGAATGCCATGGTTTGAATAGCGTCACCATGTAGAAGTTTCGCGGGTGCCGCAGGCCGAGCAGACATGCGCTCGAGCTCCTCAGCACCGAGAAGGCCGCGGCGGCGTTGTCGCTCCAGACGTTCTATCTCGACTTTGGTGCCCCGCCGCAAACGCCCAAATTCGTCCTCATACTCGACAATTCCCTGGTTGGCGTTTTCTCTACCACCATCGTCGCGGTTGTCGTCGTCGTCATCGGAGTCGGAACTCAGAGCGTCTTCATCGTCGTCCTTTCTCCCTCTTGCCTCGGCTTCTGCCCATTTTCGGTCAAAGTCGACCAGGGGCGCAGCTTCGTTTTCCTTTGGCACATAATCACCGCGTTTCATGGCGGTGTACAGGCGCGCCTTCTCTTCCATCTTGCGCCGGGTGCGGGCCAGCTCTGAGGATTCTTCGTCGGTACCCAGAGGATCCCTCAGCTTTAGCTTCGCGGAATCCGCCTTGGAGGACGAGCCCGCCTTTCCGGGGCTGTCGTTCTGCCGCCTCGATTTTGCGCCAGTGAAGATGTTGTCTTTGGTCCGCGACGGGCGAGGTCTTGCCACCGTAGGAGCGTTGGCGAATGGGCCAGATATGATAGAGGACAGCTGGGCAGTGAAATCCATGGAACTGCTCAAAGCCATATTATTCTTGCGCTTTTTAGGCGGTGGTTGCCCATAGAGGTTTGGGTCTTGGGGCATGATGATTTGCCGCCGGCAGGAAGCCAGATCTGAGGCAGTTGCAAATCGGCAAGTTGGGAGCTATTGGGTGCGATTCTCTGTTCCCGTCGAGGACAAACGATGAAGTGCGGCGGTAAGTTTGTTGGGGGGGGGGGGTTTCGGGCCGGGGGTTGTCGTGTAGAGTCCACAGGCGCTTCTACTCTGGGCACCTTCAGCGTGGTGTGGCGCTTGGAGTGGCCCACACGCAGGCACCGAAGGTACCTAGGTACCTTGAGGTTCTTGCTGGGCTAACATACCACCTACCACTGCTACCTACCCTACTTAAGGTACCAATCTAAGGTAAAGACATCAGTATAAGGTAGTTGCTAGACATCCGGGTAAGTTTCCACCTATGGTCAATACCATACACGACGGGGGGGGGGGGGGGGGGGGGGGGGGGGGACAAGCCAAAGCGAAGTCAATGAATTCACGTCAATAGAGAATGGATATAATCGTTGCTTCGTGCATATATCCAGTCGTATTCGACATGGTAATTATGCGCTTGTAAACGCTAACTCCTGTAAAAGCTGTCAATTGAGCCCTAATGCATTCCGAAAACCGAACGGCCTCCTCCATTTACTTGTTGGTCAGCCCGCGACTGGAGGACGACGACAACGATGATGACGACGCCTGCCCGCCAAGCCTCTGGGTACTATGCAGACTTCATGCGCTGATTCACATCTGTCAGGCCATCGGCCGTCTCTGGGGCATGTCGAGCAGCTGTGGGAGGTCTGAGTTGACCATTTCTTGACTCCTGCCAGGGGCGACTCCAGCAGATTCGGTAGACCCAGACAACGAAGTCAAATCCAATCAACAGGACGATGGGAACCACAAAAAACAGGCCCAGCACAATCTATCGTCTCGTCTCGTCAGTTTGAAGTTTGCCTGGTTGGTTTGACACGACGGGGATGTTCAATGTGAGACTTACGAAAGCGCCTGATATGTACCTGACCAGAGAAGGGTAATCCGGGGCCAGAAGCGAGTAAGTCATCATTGTGTCGCACCACGAGGCTTGCTGCGAGCGAGATCCCATTCCCATCGGGTGGAAATCAAGCAGCCAACGTCTTTTTGCAACAGGGGCGAAAGAAAGTGGTGGGGTTTCGGTGATATGACTTAGGTTGGTAGGTGCAAGTGGTAATAGTAATAAGTACCTAGATGCGTGTGCGGCGGGTGACGAACGAAGGCAAGCAGACGAGGGAAGTGAGTATGTAGGAACGCATGTACGGCGGATAACAAACTTCAGGGCGAACGACAATTATTTGAGCAGCTGATGAGTTGACCATCGGGCCTGGCAAGTTCAACGTTTCTCCAGAGAATGAGGTGAGTGCCGCGTGAGGTGGAAGGAAGTTGATGGTGGAATATGAGATGTCACGTCAGACCCAAGGGAGAGGAGAACGCGCTTGCGTGAGCATGGGTTAGCCGGCGCCTCCGTGATGAAGTATAGCCCAGGTGGCTACCTAGGCACCTTAGTGACCGACCAGCAGCAACTGCTACACTGGAGGCATGGATAAGTGCGTTCCTCTTTCCCCAGGTTGGTAAGTGCCTTCAGCGCGCATCCGTTGTAGGTACACCATCCTCAGGGGGTGGGTGTGTGACCGCCTTCCGTTTGCGATACCCCACTACCTACGAACCCCCCCTCCATGGACATCGTACTGTACCACGAATTGCATCGCAATTTTCTGCCTGACGCTTTTTCCCTCTTCTTTTTCTTCGCTCTCTCTATACTTATTTCCTTCCTGTGACACCCGGTTCAAAAGACCCAAACCCCACGTCCTTCGCGAATCGTATAAGCCAAATTCGAAGAGACTTGCGACATCGAAACATTCTCCCACAAGCACCTGACAAATTCCCAACCGCGGAGCGAAAACGACAAAATGGGCAAAGTGACGCACAAACCAAAGAGCCAGAAACGCGAAGACTATCGCAATGCGCGCAGCCAAGAAGGCGTACTCGAGTTGCCTAAAAAGAAGTTCTACCGGCAAAGAGCTCATGCGAACCCCTTCTCAGATCATCAATTAGTCTAGTTGAGTCGCACAACGGTCCGCTGCCCATGGACAATGATACTAATTGCATGTTGCATGTCAGCCCAGCTGGTCCGAATGAGATGGACTGGACTCAGTACTATCCCGCATTCACCGTCCAAGAAGACCACCCCTTGGTATCCAAACCCGTGGCAGCGACATCCCTCGACACAGATACTCAGGCCATTTCAACAAACCAAACGAGTCGTATGCGGAAGGATGTCGAGGTTGTTGACATTGGCTGTGGGTTTGGAGGGTTGCTTGTGGCCCTGGCACCCCTCTTGCCAGACACACTGGCTCTTGGTATGTGGATAATGCACGCCTTTAGTTGTTGGTTGACTGACTTGGGCAGGCCTCGAGATTCGGACCTCGGTCACAGAGTACGTACAGGAGCGGATCAGAGCGCTTCGCGCGCAGAACGAGGACACTGGACTCTACCAGAATATCAGCTGCCTCAGGGCCAACAGCATGAAGTTCCTACCCAATTTCTTCCAAAAGGCACAGCTTTCCAAGATCTTCATTTGCTTTCCGGACCCTCACTTCAAAGCCCGGAAACACAAGGCCAGGATCGTTTCGACCACGCTCAACTCAGAGTATGCTTTTGCGCTGCGGCCTGGCGGCATAGTGTACACCATTACAGACGTCGAGCCCCTGCACCAGTGGATGGTAGAGCACTTCGGCGCCCATCCATCTTTCGAGCGTATACCCGAGGAAGAGCAGGAAGCGGACAAGTGCGTCAAGGTCATGAGGTCAGAAACGGAGGAGGGAAAGAAAGTGGCGCGGAATCAAGGCCAGAAGCATGTTGCCCTCTTCCGCAGAAAGGAAGACCCGGCCTGGTAATTGGTAATGGCGTTAAAAACGAGGATGGGCGACGGATTCTGGGCAGGGCGCAACAGGCACAGCCCTGAATGCCAAACATACTCATTGATACCCAAGAGGAGCGTCATACTAGGTTCCATCTCTGGTTGATACGGATGGTTCATCCGCATTGTACGAGTGATTTCTTTATAAAATACTCACGCGGATTACATATTCATGTTAAGGTACCGGTCGCAAAGCTTCGTTGGGCACGGACCCATTCGGCCACATGCATATTCCATTACAGTGCTACCTAGCGCTCTATTCGTAAGGCGGACAGGCATCTTGCAGCGATGTGCTGGTCAGGGGACAAGCTATGCACGCAGTTGAGGTAACCTGAAAGGTACTTCAACCTTACCTAGGCAGTGCACCGCATCTCGACATCGTCTCCACATGTCGATTTGGACGTCCGCGTACCCCCTAATCGATAACAGGCTCGTTCGTCAACAAACACAGCTCCGGAAGCACCGCAAATATCAACATCGAACGATGTAGCGACGACACGCTGCCTTTCGATACCAATCTGGACTATGGCCCTGCAAGGAAGAGACCTGATCCTTGCCGCCATCACATGCTTCATTGCCTGGGGCTACGCCGTCAGTTGGGCGCCGACGTTGCGATGGATCGGATATGCCCTCTTGGGAGGAGCTCTTCTGACCGTCGCTTCGATTCTAGCAGTCATTTTCCTCACGTCCCGAGGTTCTAGACGAAGCTTCCGTCATCGATCACCTCGTCCGCAGGGGCCCGCCTTCATTGCGCCGAAAGCCTGGTCTCGCGAAGTTGCCGACCTCTATACACGCCATTCCTACTCGAAAGTTTCCCTCGACCCCGATTCGCCCCGAATATCCGAAGCTCTTGACCATCTTCTCGGTCTTATCGTTCGGGACTTTGTCACCTCGTGGTACTCCAACATCAGCAAAAACCCCATTTTTGCAAACCAAGTGGACAAAGCTATCCGCGATGCTCTTATCAACATCAGAGAGAGGCTGTTGGAGCTTGATCTGGTGGACATTGTCACCACTCGTGTTGTCCCGATGCTAACGGCTCACTTCCGCGACTTCTACGATGCCGAACGCTCGGTTCGGGGGAGGAAGCTCAACCGATCCGTGACGGAATCAGAGGAGTTGGACTTGGCAATTGCTTCCAAATACAAGGATGGAAAATTACACCCTGCCGCATCGTTGTCGTTTCCCGATACCAAGCTCGTTCAGCAAGATTATCTTCGAAAAATGGTTTCTGGCATCTTGCCCAAGGTCCTCCCCCCTAATATGCTCGCCAGTCGCGCCGTCTCCACCATAATTCGAGAAATTGTCGCATGCGCTGTGCTGTTTCCCGTGCTTCAGATGTTGGCCGAACCCGATACATGGAATCAAGTTATGGAAAATTATGGTCGATCTATGTTGCAGGACCGGTCAACCGTCCGCAAGCTCAGGGCTGCGCTGGATCAGCATGCTTCGCCAACCCCGAGGGCGGGCAAAGCCGCAATTATACCACGACTTTCGCCCACCGACAGTGAACGAAAGTTTGAAAAGTTCATCCGCGCCATAAGAAAAGTAAACAATCTTTCGGAGGCGAGGCGCCTGAGAAGCGAGGTGGCTAGTCAACTAAAACGAGATTCGTTAGAAGACAACCAGGACCAGGTGTATCTCCGCCGGCTGGAAATGGGTAAGAGGCTGTTGGACCAGCGCGTTCAAGTGCTCGCGGCGGGAGGAGACAGACGCAACGCAGCCGCCTTACCTCCTCGCCCCGCAGGCAATACCAAGGCGGTGTCAAAACTTGAGCATGCCTCTTTGGTGGAGCTGCTCCGAGATGCATCAGGGTTGTCTTACTTCATGGAGTTTATGGATCGTCATCGCATGATGCCTCTCGTTCAGTTCTGGCTGGTGGTTGATGGCTTCCGCAACCCGTTGGAGGATGAAGGTCAGGACGACGAGCAGCTCCCATTGAATCTGTCCATGTGGACCGATTCTGATCGCCTAGACCTGGCGCAAATCGACCATGCGTACTTGGCTAAGGCTGAATTGAAGGTGTCGCAGTCCACTCGGGACGAAGTTCGGGCTTTTCTGAACGCCGGCAAGTCGGCTACTGCAGAGCAGTACTACAAAGCCCGGCGAGCCATCTTGAGAGCGCAAACAGCGGTCTTGGAGAGGATGCAAGCACAATTTTTTCAATCTTTCAAGAAGTCTGACCTCTTTTACAAGTGCTTGGCAGCCGAAGAAGCATCTGCAGCTATCACTGCTGTCCCTCCAGTTGAGCCGTCCTCGTCGGTGGCCCATCCGCCTATACACCGAAGTTCCCAATCATACCAGTCCAAGCCGAATGCGATTGCAAGACTTGCACCGAGATTAACACGTCCGACGACGAAGCGAGCCGGATCTGCGTCGGATCTGAGGATCTCCAACGTTAACGGCGGCGGTCTCGACCCGGCAACGGCACAGCGACGCTCTCTAGACGACGACTCACCAACCCCGTTGTTTGACGATGAAGACTTTGAGCATGACAACATGATGGACTCGGTGCAGAGTCTGGACCAGGAAGCCAGCAATCCTATTCCCGATACCACTGTGGTTCAAGCCATGGAAGAAGCTCTAAATAACATCATGGAAGATAACCGACCTCAAACAGCCGAAGAATTCCGGGCGTCATTATTTGGGGCTGAAGATGCAGGCTCAAGCCTCTTCTCTGGCGATAATGATTCCCATCGAGGATCACTCGACGTGCCGAGGCCGGCACAGTCGTCCAAGGAAGCCGAGAGACCGAGTTTGTCATCTTTGGGCCTCGTAAGCGCCGCATCTCGAATAGGAGTTTTCGTTGACGATGATCTTTTCGGAGATGAGGACAAGTATCTTTCTGACGAGCAGGATGACGATGGCGGAGGTAAACAGATGGATGTGGAGGACGAAGTTCACGAAGCCGCGCCCGGAGACCTGGGCCTGGCGGAAGCTATCACAGCGCTGTCTAACGACATTGATCGCCTTGTAGCGCAAGATGCCATCGTCGAATCTCTTACGAAGAAGGCCGAACTCACGAACAACACAGCCGAATTACGTATTCTAAGGAAGTCCAAAGCAAGTCTGCAGCGCGAAATTCGGCGTAAAGAGTTGCAGAGACAGCA